AGACCTACTTGGGCCTTGAGTTGATATTCCGTCCTGAAGCAGGGAGAGATATAGACCTGGACTGAAGAGGATTCAGCTTGAGTGATGGTTGGAGGGAGGACAACTATCAAGGGATGTTTTCGATTTTCGGTATTATTCTTGTGAGGTACCACATACATGAAAGTATTATGATTTCTATGATGGTTAGAAGAATAAAATGAATACCAAAATGTGGAATATCCATACAAAATTCTATTATTTAGCCATAAAAAGCAGTACTGATACTTGCGTGTATATTACCCATGGATATAACCCACCATCAGACAGAAAACCAGTACCTTTAGGGTCACCACATGTGCCAACCCATCACATCTTTCCACCCTGCCAGAGGTAACCGCTAGGTTAACTCAGAGTCTTTATTATTTGAGAAAGTCTTTTTTCTCAACCCTTGATTGGGTGTAAAGCTATCATTTGATGCTTTCCCTCTTGTTCTAGTTTTGCTTCAACATGTTTTTAAAGTAAAGATGTATATACATGATAAAAAAGCTAAAAGCAGTTTTGTCAGAAACTAGATTAATTATCTAGTGCCTTCTCTTGGCATATGTATAAGAGAACTGTATTTACAGGTTGGTCAGGCCCTCTTCTTCATAAATGCTCAAAAATGAGTTGTTTCTAGATCATTCAGGTATGAGGTGTGGTTGGCTTGAGGAGTGTTGTAAGAATGAGCAGATGTTAAAAGGAGACATAGAAGTAACAATTTTTTTTGTATAATACAAATATCATCTCTCAAATTAATGTTTCTGTGTTTTAGAACTTCTCATTATTCTTGAAAATCAAAAGCTGGTTTTAATCCTTCCTATTTTCCTATAACCTTCCTTTTCTATTTTTGTTTGTGTACAACTTTGTAGAAAATTAGCTTGTTTTTAATGATTTACTTTTAAACTACCTTTTGGGTTTTGTAGGTGTGAAAGCTCACACATTGGTTAATTTTTGGAATCAAAAAAGAAATAGTCTTTTTAATGAGGAGTCTACTTAGATACAACATGAAATTCTAGGCACTCAAGGGAATAAAAATTTGCTGACTGTCCAAAGAATATACTGGACAAGAGTCCTTGCATAATTTTAACAGGGAATGAAAACCTGAAATGTAATAAACAAACTGCTTACATTTTTATATAGAGAGTTGAGTCATTTTTATTTTTCTTTTAAATGAAAGCATTATAGACTTCAGATTTTAAAAACTATTGTTAAGTGTTTAGTGATATAGAAAGTTGTTAGTGATAGTGAAAAAGATTGTTAGATTATGTGTGGAACTATCTATTCACAAAACAACGTGTCTGACAACGTGTCTGTAGGTTTTAATGTTAACAGTTTTGATGATAATTATCTAAATAGTGCTGAGCTATATAGGTTATATGAGTGGCTTTTTTTTCTCTTGTTTTGCTTACCAGGTATTTTTCATCTTTACTTTCTTTTTTTAAAAAAATCTTTTTTAAGATATAATTCACATACCATAAAATTAACTCTTAAGTTATGGATCAGTGTGGTTTTTTTTAATTTATTTTTTGTTTTTGTTGAAGGATAATTGCTTTACAGAATTTTGTTGTTTTCTGTCAAAACTCAACATGAATCAGCCATAGGTATACATATATCCCCTCCCATAGGACCTCCCTCCCATCTCCCTCCCCATCCCACCCCTCTAGGCTGATACAGAGCCCCTGCTTGAGTTTCCTGAGACATACAGCAAACTCCCATTGGCTATCTATTTTACATATGGTAATGTAAGTTTCCATGTTACTCCTTCCATACATCTCACTCTCTCCTCCCCTCTCCCCATGTCCATAAGTCTATTCTCTATGTCTGTTTCTCCATTGCTGCCCTGTAAATAAATTCTTCAGTACCATTCTTCTAGATTCCATATATATATGTGTTAGAATACAATATTTATCTTTCTCTTTCTGACTCGCCTCACTCTGTATAATAGGTTCTAGGTTCATCCACCTCATCAGAACTGACTCAAATGTGTTCCTTTTTATGGCTGAGTAATATTCCATTGTGTATATGTACCACAACTTCTTTATCCCTTCATCTGTTGATGGGCATCTAGGTTCCTTCCATGTTGTAGCTATTATAAATAGTGCTGCAATGAACAATGGGATACATGTGTCTTTTTCAAATTGGTTTCCTCAGTGTATATGCCTAGGAGTGAGATTGCTGGGTCATATGGTGGTTTTATTCCTAGTTTTTTAAGGACTCTCCATATCGTCTTCCATAGTGGCTGTATCAATTTACATTCCCACCAACAGTGCAAGAGCGTTCCCTTTTCTCCACACCCTCTCCAGCATTTATTGTTTGTAGACTTTTTGATAATGGCCATTCTGACCAGTGTGAGGTAATATCTCATTGTAGTTTTGATTTGCATTTCTCTGATAATGAGCGATGTTTTGAGCATCTTTTCATGTGTTTGTTAGTCAACTGTATTCTTTGGAGAAGTGTCTGTTTAGGTCTTTTCCACTTTTTGATTGGGTTGTTTGTTTTTCTGGCATTGAGTTTTATGAGCTGCTTGTATATTTTGGAAATTAATGCTTAGTCAGTTGTTTCATTTGCTATTATTTTCTCCCATTCTGAGGGTTGTCTTTTCACATTGCTTATAGTTTCCTTTGCTATGCAAAAGCTTTTAAATTTAATCAGGTCCCACTTGTTTACTTTTGTTTTTATTTCTGTTACTCTAGGAAGTGAGTCATACAGGATCTTGCTTTGATTTATGTCATTGAGTGTTCTGCCTATGTTTTCCTCTAACAGTTTTATAGTTTCTGGTCTTACATTTAGGTCTTTAATCCATTTTGAGCTTATCTTTGTGTATGGTGCTAGGAAATGTTCTAATGTCATCCTTTTACATGTAGCTGTCCAGTTTTCCCAGCACCATTTATTGAAGAGGCGGTCTTTGCCCCATTCTTGCCTCATTCTTGCCTCCTTTGTCAAAAATAAAGTACCCATAGGTGCATGGGTTTATTTCTGGGCTTTCTATCTTGTTCCATTGGTCTATATTTCTGAATCAGTGTTGTTGTTTTTTTAATTGCTTTCAGAGTTGTGTAACCATCATCACAGTCAATTTTAAAACATTTTTTTATCACCTCCTAGAAGACACCCTGTTCCCATTAGCAGTCATTTTCCATTTTCCCCCAATATTACCAGCCCTGGACAACCACTGATTTTTCTTCTGTCTCTCTAGACTTGCCTACTCTGAGCATTTCATATAAATGGAGTGATGTAAGATGTGGTCTTTTGTGTCTGACTTCTTCCACTTAGCTTGTTTTCAAAATTCATACACTATGTAACATGTATCAGTACTTCTTTTTAATGGCTAAATAATAGAATTTTGTATGGATATTCCACATTTTATTTACCCACTTGTCACTTGATGAACACTTGGGTTGTTTTCAATTTTTGGTATTGTGAACAATGTTGCTATGGAAATTCATATATAAGTTTTTCTGTGAGCTAATGTTTTTATTTCTTTTGAGAAAATGTACCTAAGAGTTGAATTGCTGCCCTCATATGGTAACTCTGTTTAAGCTCTTGAAAAACGGCCAGACTGTTTCCTAAATTGCCTACATCAGTGTCAGGGACGCAGCCCTGGAGAATTGTGATTTTCCTTAGTACTCTTGGTCAGTTTGAGCTTTATGTCCCCCACCATGGTGGTCAAAAGCCTGACGACAGAGATGTTGCACACCAGCAATATATGAGGGTTTCAGTTTCTCAACATTCTTGCCAACACTCGTTACGCCTTTTTGATTACAGCCATCCTGGTTAATGTGAAGTGATGTCTCATTGTGGTGCACACATATTAAGTATGTGGACCTTTCCAGTAGGGCGTTTTAGTGAGTCCAGGGTGCTCTCAGGCCAATTCCAGATGTTTGATCTAAGCAGTGCACCTGTCAAACAGCAGCCAGTTTCCGTGTAGTTAATGTGCTTAGAAATCTGAAGTTTCATGAATTTGACAATTTAGGATCTTTTCTGAAGTCAGTTCATACCAAGAATTATGAAAACAGTCGTAAGCATTGACTCTTTAATCTCTGATTCCTGAGAATTTATCCATCAGAAATAACTCAGAAGCCCCCCGACCCCCAAAAAAAAGAAAAAGGAAAAAGAATGTTAAGATCTTTAAAAGCCCAGAAGTGGTAGGGAAAAATCAAGACTAATTTAAAAATTTAAATGCCCAACTGTATATACTGCCATGATAGAGTGTATTTTTAATCAAATATAGATATATTTTCCAAAAATGACTGAATGGCTATATAAAATCACTGAAAAGTACCTACAAAATGATGGTTAAGTGAACAAATGCAAAATTGTAAGTGCACAGATTATTATGGTGGCATTACAAATTCTGTATGTGTGCAAATAATTTGCTAACAGATGATGAGAAAATTAAAATACTGTTGTGTAAGCATAACATATAATTGTAGGTAATATTTTAAAGTGTTCATAAATGCTTTTCAGTGTATTTTATTTATAAAAATGTAGCAATCACAGTGCTGATCTGGTCAAAAACTGAATTGTGACAACAACATCTACTTTAGAGGATTAGAAAAATATCTAGAGTAACAGTATCTCAGATACTTAAACTGAGCCACTTAAAAATAATGACTATTTCAATTTCTTTTTTAAAAAGAAAATAATTTTAGTATGCATATTTTTCTGATAGAAAATTTAGAAAAATACAGAAAAGTACAAATATGTTAAATCACATAATTCTATCACAGAGATGATTACTGCTAACATATTGCTTTATATCTTTTCATTATTTTTACATTTATCTATTTTTATATCATGGAAAGTTTGAAATAGGCATCGATTATTTACAATCTCTGTTTTTATCACAAAAGTTGATGGCGCACATTTTCAGATGAGTGTGTTACCCAGGGGGCTTCTTTAGGCAGCCAGTTTCCTAGAGGCTTAGAATGGGATAGAATAAATGCACTTGCTGACTTGCCTTTTTTTCCCTGCCTCTAATGTAGAAATTGGTGTTTTAGCCAAGACTTTCATTGACCAAGGGAAGCTCATCCCAGATGACGTCATGACTCGGTTGGTCCTTCATGAGCTGAAAAATCTCACCCAATATAGCTGGCTGTTGGATGGTAGGTGGAATATTGAGAATATTTCAGCTGCCCAAAAGGATGCATGCAGACTGGAGAGTGAGCATTTCACGTGCTACAGAAACAGATGGTGGGCAGGAGGACTGTGTGCTGCCACTCCTGACCGTGGGGCCTCGGGGGCCAGTCTTCTTCTCTGTCCTGCTTCTTTTTTTAAATGCAAAGAGGGAAGTGCACTGCATTATTTCTAAGCTCCTTCAGATATGACTTTTGTTCCTTCTCCCCTTTTTGAGAATATTTAGGATGAGGGAGGATCACAGAAGGAAGAAGGAAGGACGGAGGGTAACTTACAGTAAGATGTAAACTTTCCCCAGCCAGAGGTACCATGGGATCCTTGAGGATAGGTTGATTTTTAGTTTTTAAAGGGAGGTGTTTATTGCAAGGAATTTGCTCACACAATTGTGAGGTGGAGAAGTCTCAAAATATTCAAAGTGGGTCAGGAAGCTGGGAACCCAGGAGAGCTGGTAGTGTGATGGTGTCTGAAGGCTGGTGAGACCTAGGAAGACCCGCTGTTTGAGTCCAAAGGCAGGAAAAAGCCATATCCCCCCGCTCAAGGCAGTCAGGTAGGAGGAATTCCCCCTTATCTTCTGGAGAGGGCCAGCCCTCTGTTCTGTCCAAGCCCTCAGTGGATTAGATGGGACCCACCCGCATTAGGGATAATAGTCTGCTTTCCTCAGTCAGCTGACTTAAATGTTAATCCCCACCCCGACCCCCCGACAAAGACACCCTCACAGACATGTCCAAAATATTGTTTGACCAACTATTTGAGCAACCTGTGGTCTGGACAAGGTAACATATAAAGTATTAACTATCAGAGTTGCCCTACAAGTGTCATCAGCCTTCCTGGTGTTACTGCTTTTGTTCAAGTTGCTCAACATTAATTTTCTTCTCCCCTGTCTCCCCTCGGCCCTTTCTTTCTTTGTTCATTTTTAACTTAATTTGTAAAGGCTTTCCAAGGACACTTCCGCAGGCAGAAGCCCTGGATAGAGCCTATCAGATAGACACAGTCATTAACCTGAATGTGCCTTTTGAGGTCATCAAGCAGCGCCTTACTGCTCGCTGGATCCATCCAGGCAGCGGCCGTGTCTACAACATCGAGTTCAACCCTCCCAAAACCGTGGTGAGTAGTTGGGGTCGAACTGACTCGGCCTTCTGCGTAGCCAGCTGTCTCCAGATGACAGATGACCTCTTGTCATCTGGAGACAGTTGCCCTCAAAGATAACATTGATACTCTTGGATGACCAGAACTCCAGAGGGCATGGTCTCAGATTACTTGTGTAGTCTGCTGGCTTAGTCCAGTCAGCTTGGTGGTAAAGACATCCCCAGAGCAACCGGGGTTTGTTGTTCCTTCAAAAGTATGTGTTGATTTTCTACTCTGCCAGGTGGTGTGCTTAGATTCGGGGCAGTAGGGATTAATGACACCTTGGGTTATTTAGGGCTTACAGTTCAGATTCTCAATCTATAGCTGAATCCTTTTCGTATATGTATAATATCACAGGCTTCCCTGGTGGTTCAGATGGTAAAGAATCTGCCTGCAATGCAGGAGACCCGGGTTTGATCCCTGGGTCAGGAAGATCCCCTGGAGAAGGGAATGGCAACCCACTCCAGTATTCTTGCCTGGAGAATCCCATGGACAGAGGAGCCTGGATGGCTACAGTTGTAAAGAGCTGGACACGACTGAGTGACTGACACTTTCACTTTTTTTCATAATATAATATACACAATATACATGTAATACATAATACAAAATTATTTAGAGGCTGCTTAAAGACCCTTTTTCTCTAAAGAGAAGGTGATTGCCATCGTGGAAACGTTGCTAGGGTCTCATGGCTCTGTGTTGCAATGACCTGGGTTTGAATTTGATTCCATTTATTTAAAAAGCACATTTTTGTGTTTGGTGATTACATAGATGTCTGTTTACAAATCAGTTAACTACCTATAAAAATATCCTTCAAAACTATGATAGTTGATGCCAGTCCTTCTAACTCCCATTTAGGGAATTGATGATCTGACTGGGGAGCCTCTTGTTCAGCGTGAGGATGATAGACCAGAGACAGTTGTCAAGAGACTGAAAGCTTACGAAGCCCAAACAGAGCCTGTCCTGGAGTACTACCGGTGAGTTGGTGGCTTTTCAGAACTTCTCTTATATGATGAATCACTCAATCATTTTCTGATCTTTCATGCCTTCCAGCCAAAATGCTAAAATACCAGAAGATTCAACCCGAATTAGTTTAAGTAATAAAAGGAAATTTATTTGTGTAACAAATCCAGAAGGTAGTTTGGGCTTCAGCTGCCCCAGGTTTGATCAGAATTTTGCTCATCTCTGCTTTGTATTGGCTCTGTCCTTATATTTCCTGCATAGTTGCTGACGGTTGCTAGGAGCAGGCACAGCATCCTCTTTATGAAAGGGTGAGGGGTCACCTTTCCTCCAGTGAACAGAAGTGCTAGAGTTAACCAACTTGAGCAGCTACTGTGGTCAGAGAATGCCTTACATTTTAGGCCTAGGTTACTGTGCATTTCTGAGCCAGTCACTAGGATGGGAGAGATTGTATTGATTGGTCCACACCCAGAGCAGGCAGTGGGTCAGTCTCACCCAAACCCTGCTATCCGGTGGAGGGAGGGCTGGCGTGAATGCCAGGAAGGCAAAGCTAATGGTGTCCACTCCCTGTGATGATAGAGGACACTATAGCACAAAAGCCTCTCAAAGGGCAACTAGTCCTCAGATCATTTATTTGGCAAATAGTGTTTAAAAGTTTTCATTTTACATAGTTTTGTTAACTCCTCAGGGAATTCATATCCCACCACAAATACAGGAACTCTAGTGAGTTAGTGTTTGACTCGGGCCAAGAAACAATTCTGTTTCTTTATTCAGCCTTCCCCTCTCCTAACAGAGGGTTGATTACATTCACTTTTCTTTATTCATTCACTTACTGAATAGTGACTCAGCATTAAGACAGGACAGTGCTGTGGTTAGAGTACTGACTCTAGAGCCAGAGTGCCTAAGTTCAAATCCCAGCTCACCATTTATTAACTTGGCCTTAACTTCTTGCTTAACCTCTGTTTTTTTCCATGCAAAATGGGATTGAGACTGGAGGGGTGAAAGGTGGAGTTAACATGTGTAATTCTTAGAATTGTGTCTGACACACATTAAGCGCTATATGGTTATTAGCTATTACTGTTGTTGTAATTGGGTAACTATGCAGTGAATTCAGAAGTAGCAGTCTCCAAATTATTTTAAGAGTTATTTCTGGAGGATGAAATTACGAGGAAGTTGGCAATTCACTTTCTTCACTAGCTGTTAGTGTAATATTGTGATTATATAATGAGCCTGGCTCCTGCAGATTACCAGCTGTGTGGCCCTGGGCAAGGTGTTTGAACATCTGTGCCATGAATTCTTCATTTGTAAAATCAGAGCAATTATTATATAGTACCTTCTTTATAGGGTTGTTAAGGGAATTAAATGAGAGAATCCATACAAAGACTTAAAAACAGTCCTGGCACTGTTGAATCACTTAGTATTGATGAATGTGTTGTTTACCCTGTGGACACTATGCTAGGCCAGTGATCCACATAGATAATTAGACCCAGTCTTTGCCAAACCCCAAAGAAACTCACCTTTCTTTGTGAGGCAAGTGCTGGGTAAACAGTATTTGTCATACAGTGTGATAGGTGCTTATATCAATCAGGAACCTAATTCACACAAGCTTTAGCAAAAGGGAAATTTATTGGTCATGTAACTGAAGAGTCCAAAGGTAGATGGTTTGGGTCCAGGTGTTCAAACAGTCATCAGGCCTCTGTCATTCTTAGCTTTGTTTTCCTGTGTTGACATCAATCTCAGGTGGGCTCTCCCTCTGTGAGCCTCAACATTCCAGCTCATCTTCTTTCAGTTCATCTACCCCAGAAAAAGAGAGTCTCTGTGCCCTCAAAAGTCATGGAGTTGGAGTTGGCACTAACTAGCTCTGATCATGTCCATCCTTGAAGCTGGGAGGTGAGGACTATCCCATCTGAGTCTCATGGACTGAATTTAGTGAAAAGGTTGTTTCCCGAAAGAGGTTTGTTATTCATTCAAAAGTAATCAGAAGAAGGGAGAGCACATTGTTGCTGAGCTGATAACAACACTATGAGGCTATTAACGGAAGTCATGACTGAATGCAGTGGAAGTACAGTGGTTGTAGGCATTAGTTCTGTAAAATGTGGGAGGGGAGGTTGGGGAAGGCTGTAGAGATGAAGTGTATGTCACGGGTCCCTATCTCAGGAGATACACTAGTCTTTCTGAGCTTCTGGCTTTTGCTACCTCTTGCCATTAATTGAAACTTTTCCCTCTAAGCTCCTGTACATAGAACTAGGACTGGACTTAACCAACAGTTTAAAGTGGTATTCGCAATAACCTTAGTGAGAATCAGCATTGTTATTTTAAAATACTGACAGTTACATTGTTGCTTTTAAAACTTGTCTCAGCTGTGGGACATTTGATAGTATAACTAGGTCTCTGTTTACAAGCAACATGATGCTCTTTTTAGAGGACCAATAGCTTAAGCTAGTTCCATGTTATTACATAGAAATGAAGGTGACAAATGTTCGTCCAGGGTTCAGCCTTAGGACTGAATAGGTGTGTATAGTTGTTCCCTTGGAAGCAACCTGTTAACCCACTTGTGACATAGGCTTGATTTTAAGGTGACTCTTCAAGAGACTTACAACAGTTAAGAAGCTTGTTCTATTGAAAACTTGTGAAAAGATGCTTGTGAACTTAGAAGCAGTAGGGCTCTAGCAGATCTTTCTTAACCCAGAAAACAGTGGGAATTATTTGTTAGTTTTTAACTGTGGCAAATCTTATGAGGGATGCATAAAGGAATGTTTTTGTTCCCAGTGAAACATCTTAAAATCTAGTGAAAAACTTGCAGAGGTATGACTGGTCCTATTTTTAGAAAGTTAAACCAGAGTTCTTCATTTGCTCTTCTGCAGCCTTAAAGCCAGTGTGTATATGAGTAGTTGGAGGAGGAGGATAAACAATTGGAATGCCAGAATCTCGGGCAGGAATTTTTCTGTTTTGAAAAACAACCCCTGAATTTTGATCCTTCTCACCATTGAACCTCAAGGAAACAAGTGAATACAGACTTTGATTGCTGGCCTGGTAAAAAGCCAGACAAATCTGTCTGGGAAGAAATGGAGAAACCCAGTAGGAAACACGATAAAAACAACATTCTAGAATTCCCCTTTCCTTTAAAATTCAGAAGGAGGGCACAGAGGAAAAAAAAAAAAGTGAAAGAAGGAAGGATCCTCAGGTATTAGGAAGCTGTCTTGCAAAGAGGCAAGCAGACAAAAGAAAGCCAAGGGTGTTCTAGTGTCTGACAGGACCTGTGTTTTGAAGCCTACTACCATTTTGGTGATTCAGGTCATTACTTTACATCCCTAACAGTTTCTTCAGTAAAATAATGAAACTTGAGCTTTAAATAGGATTAAATTATTATATGTAAAGCACTTAGCATGTGCTCAGAAAATGATAGATGCATCTTAAGTGACCATTTCTATTAGCCAGAGGGCACAACTGAAACCAAACTCTGGGTTTTCTAACACCCAGCCAAGTGCCTTTCATTCTTGATCACACAGATCTGTACTTACTGAGACCATTAAATCCACACTACTATCTTTAAAAAAAAGAAATTATTTATTTATTTTTGGCTATGCCAAGTGGCATGTACAATCTTAGTTCTCTATTCAGGGATTGAACCTGAATTGGGAAGTCCTCAACCTATCCAACCTATCCATTTTTTTTTTTTTTAATGATAAAAGCCATTTTGACAGGTGTGAGTTGATCTGATTTTGGTTTTGATTTGTATTTCCCTGATGACTAGTGATGGTGAACATCTTTTCATGTGTCTGTTTGCCATCTTTATGTCTTTGGAAAAAGACATGTTAAGGTCTTCTGCCCATTTTTAAATCAGGTTGTTTATTTATTTTTTGATGTTGGGTTTTGTATATTTTGGATATTAACCTCTCATCAGATATATCATTTGCAAATATCTTCTCCCATTCAGTAGGCTGTCTTTTCATTTTATTGAGCTTCCTTGGCTGTACAAAATCTTTTTAGTTTGATGTAGTCCCATTTATTTTTGCTTTTGTTTCCCTTGCCTGAGGAGACAGATCCTATATATATATATATATATATATATACACACACAATATATATATATCCTATATATATATATATATTACACACAACATATATACATGTTGTATATATATTGTTAAGGCTGATTTCAAAGAGTGTACTGCCTGTGTTTTCTTCTAGAATTTTTATGACTTCAGGTCTTACATTTAGGTCTTTAATCCTTCTTGATTTTATTTATATTGTATGAGAAAGTAATCTAGTTTTATTCTTTTGTGTGTAGCTGTCCAGTTTTTTCAGCACCATTTATTGAAGAGGCTGTCTTTTCTCCCTTGTGTATTCTTGCCTTCTTTGTCATAGATTAACCTGACCATACTGCAGGTTATTTCTGGGCTGCCTGTTCTCTTCCATTGATCTGTGTATCTGGTTTTGTGCTAGTGCCATTACTATTTTGGTTACTGTGTGGCTATGTGGTATAGTCTGAAGTCAGGGAGCATGATGTCTCCAGCTCCGTTGTTTCTCAAGATTGTTTTGGCTATCCGGATCTTATGTGTATCCAGATTTTAGAATTTTTGATCTAGTGCCATGAAAAATGCCAGTGGGGGTTTCCCTGGTGGTCCAGTGGTTAGGAAATCACTTTGCAATGCAAGGAATACTGGTTTGATCCTGATCCAGGAAGATCCCACATGACACGGGGTAGCTGAGCTCACCTGCCACAACTAATGAGCCTGTGAGCTGCAACTACTGAGCCCATGTGCCCGAGAGCCTGTGCTCTGCGACAGGAGGACCACTGCGATGAGAAGCCCTTGCACCATGTATAGCCCTCGCTTGCTGCACCTAGAGAAAGCCCGCATAGCAATGAAGACCCAACACAGCCAAAAATAAACAAACATTAAAAAAAAATGCTGTTGGTATTTTGTTAGGAATTGCATTGAATCCATAGATTGTCTTGCATAGTATGGTCATTTTAACGATACTAATTGTTCCAATCCATGAGCAAGATATGTCTTTCCATTTTTTAATGTCTTTTTCAGTTTCTTTCATCAGTGCCTTATAGTTTTCCAAGTATAGGTTCTTAACCTGCTTGATTAGATTTATTCCTGGGTTTTTTTTTTTTTTTTTTAAAGGCAGTTGTAAGTGGGATTGTTTTAATTTCTCTGATAGTTTGTTATTAGTGTATAAAAATGCAACAGATTTCTATAATTTTGTATCCTGAAGCTTTACTAAATTCATTTATTACTTCTAATAGTTTTTTGGTGGCATCTTTAGGCTTTTCTATATACAGTATCATGTCATCTGCTGAAGTGACAGTTTTAGTTCTTCCTTTCCTATTTGGAACCACCACCCCCCCACCCCCCGCCTCCCCCCACACACACCCTTCTGATTGCTATGGCTAGGAATTCCAAAACAAAACTGGTGAGAGTGGACATCTTTGTCTTGTTTCTGATCTTAGAGGAAATCCCTTCAGCTTTTCACTATTATATTGGCTCCAGGTTTGTCATATATGACTTTTATTACACTGAGGTATATTCCCTCTATACCCACTTTGTTGAGAGTTTTATCAAAAATGGATGTCAAATTTTGTCAAAAGCTATTCTGTATCTGTTGAGATGATCATATGATCTTTATTCAATTTGTTAATGTGGTATATCACATTGATTTGAATGTATTGAACCATCCTTGGGACAAATGCCACTTGATCATGGTATATGATCCTTAACTGTTGAATTTGGTTTGTTAATATTTTGCTGAGGATTTTTGCATCTATGTTCATTCGTGATACTGGCCTGTGATCTTTTTTTATAGTCAGACCTGTCTTGTTTTTTATCCTTAGGAAAAAAGGGGTGTTGGAAACATTCTCTGGAACAGAAACCAACAAGATCTGGCCACACGTTTATGCTTTCCTACAAACAAAACTTCCACAAAGAAACCAGGAAACATCAGTTACTCCATGAGGAAAAGTGCATGTAACTAGGAAGATGGGCAGAAGCTCCTTGTCTTTTGCATTTAGAAGTTCCTTGTCCTAAGACTCTGGCCTGTATAAATTCTTTGAAAATTATGTTAGTTTCATTTCTGCTGATTTTATCCTGGAAATTAAGGATGTGCCAAATGAGTCAGTTATGAAGATTCATCTTCTGAAATGTTTAGTGTGTTGTATCTAGTTACCTTCTAACTAGATAAAATTAGAATTTAATTAGCACAATTATAAAACATTATAAATGTCTAACTAGACTTGAAAATTGTTGAGTGTAATTGAAAGGGCAATTGGTAATCTAAGTTTTGTTCAGAAAAGAAGTGGTGGATAAAGTTTCCTTATTTTTCTGGAAAAGTAAAAAAAAACACTTCCCTTTCACTTGTGGAAAGTATCTTATCAGAGGCTTTTGTGGATAGTGATGCGAAAAGAGAGACCTCTAGCACTGTGATACACACAAACTGTGGGACACTGTCAAATGGAATTCCTGGGGGGAAAAAAAAGCAACTGAATTTATAGATTAGTTGCAGGATGCAAATTCACTGCTGCCTTTTATTGACCTCAAACAGATTGCCAGATATTTCTCCAGCAAAATGGGTTTATTCGGAATCAGCAGATAATTGCAATTTGGAGTCTCAACCATGGTGAGCCAGGTGCAAGTCCTCCCCACAGCATGGGAATGACAGTACTTTCATAGACGAGAAAAGGAAGTTGGGAGGGCTGTAGTAAACAAGTCCATGGCTTTTTGTGGGCTGAGTCCTTGCCAGAAGTCTTGTCTTCTTCCTTTTGCGCTATGCTGTCTTCACAAGGCATGAGAGCTCCCCCTTGTGGTCTCCTGACTACTGAGATTTCTGAGCTTTTTTTACACTTTACACTAGCAACCTTTCGAAAGGTAACCATATATCCTGTATTTTGTTGTTTTTAAACACACTTTCACTTTACTCCAGATTTTGTTTGCTATAAAAATGTACCAATTAGCGCATAGCGAAATGTATTTTCCTATCTCTTATTTTCTTTTGAAAAACCTTGTCTACTGAGGGATATGACTTGTTAGAAATTGACATCGTAAATTCTTGGAAAAGCACCAAAGTTGAATTTTCAACAGAATATGTAATTAAACTCTGTTTTCAGAAGTTATTCAGGTTGAAAAATGTGCACTTTAGGACCTACTTGCCAGTTTCTTTCTTGATCCCAATGTATGATCTGTCTCGATGAGTAGCAAATGGAAGGCAGGCAGGCAGGCAGGGGAGAAAGGGAAGGAGACTCGTGGAATTAGGTTAAGTAAGCATACTTTGTCGTTAGGAAATAGATCAGGTTTGCCTGGGGGAAACCCCCTTGACATAAATAACAATCATAATTAGTAAACAAGTGTAGGAATTACAAGGATTCACACAACATATTAAAAAGAACCAGGAAACTCATTGATTTTGCTTAGAAGAGTTCTTTATTCCTAATCAAAGAAGTTGACATCTGCTCCTGTTCACTGCTATCCTTCCTTAATGGGGAAGAACTCTGCCAGTGAATGTAACCTGGGCAGCCATTTTGAAATGAAAATGATTTGATTCCTTAGAGGGGTAACAGGATGCATGATTACATACAGTGGTAGCTTGGTAGGAAGAGTGGGGCAATATGAGAGGTGAAGGAGAAATCTGACAATATCTTCAATTCTCTTACTTGGTGCTAGATTAAATGAAACAAGTCAGTGTGTAAGCTGTTAGAAACTGCCTTTGGAAATTTGCCCCATTTTATTCCAGGCATTGAAAATACAGATGCTACCAAGTGATTCTTATGTATCTTGTGGGGAAAAAAAGCTGACTTTTCTTTGATTTTTAAAAGTTCAGTATTGATCTTTCAAAAATGTACTGAAGCTTTTTTAAAAAAGGATTATGGTAAACATTCACATAGCTGCTTTATTTGAATGTTAGTATGTACATTCTAAAAATGTTGGGTACTGATTATCCAGTGTATCAATGAATTAGCATTAAATGAAAATTCAGAGCTGTGGATATTACTTGGTCTTTGGTAACTCACAGGGCTCACTCTTAACTCACCTTCCCTTTATTGCCCCCATGTCTCACTGGCTTCTGAGTTAGTCTCTGCTTTCTAATAGTCGTCTTAGAACAGTTTTACATATATAGGTTGGTTTCATTTTACCCTTTGTTTCCTGCTGCAGGATTGCAGCCATACTGGCCTTCTTGACACTGTTAGGAGATTTGGGAATCAAGAAGAGGGACAGAAGAACATGGCTATGAAAATCCTAGTGCACCACTACAATATTGTAAAGTAATTAGCCTCCAACTAATATAAATGAGAAAAAGAAAAGAAAAAAAAAAACATGGTATGAAAATCAAGACCTACCCTTCCTGTGACCATTTCCTCTCCACTCCCAAAACTGAAGTTTTGCATACATCCATGACTTTGGGAAGCACCTGTGCTATTACAAAAAGAACTTGTTTTCTGCTGTAATACCTATCATTATGATCTGTGTGCCACATGGAAATATGTCCAGAGCTGACTGCCAAGGCCAGAAGCTACTGTGCCTTAGTTAAAAGCTAGTAAGACTTCAAACCATTACCCTGTTTTCTACAGCACCAGTCATTTTGGTATACCTTTCATAAGCAGAGTGTGTTGTGGGAAATGCAAATTGGCAGTACCATCAAGAAATTTTATTTCTTAATTCATTTCTTTTTCTATTTATTTCTATTTCTTATTCAAATAGTCTAAATTTCTAAACCCTGCCCCACAACTACTTCTCTCCAGCTATTTTCAATGGCATTTGAGCAAAATATTTTGGACATTCAGTTTGTGACAAAACTTAGCTGTTAACAGATCATAGTAATTAAAGGCCTCATTATATTAAATGGCTATAATATTCAACAGCAATAAATTTTAAAACATGTTTATAAGTTGTCTTTTCATTGACAAAAGGAAAAAAGACACTGGTCAACTGCAAAAACAGCCTTCTGATCTTTGCAATTCAAGATTCTGATTTTAGAAGTTATAGTTTAAAATTTTTAAACACAGAATAATCTGTTTAAAGCTTCTGGTAAAAGCCAAGATACTTTGTAGAGAGTCCACATTCAGCTATAGCTTTTTTTTTTTTTCCTTTCAGCTCATTAATGACCACATTTAGCACTGAGTAAAAAGTTAAAATTGTTATACATGTGAAATTGCATGGTGTAAGAATGTCACAAAGTGAATCAGTTTGGTGATGTGTCATATTTTACCAAAGGACTATTATAAAGTGTTTGAAAAGTAGCATGACAAATGTCATTTAAAGAAACAAGTGAAATATGTGAGAATTTAAAAAAAATCAATTTCATACTTAGAAAAGATGAAAACTTATTCTTCGAGGCTTATGACAATGGTTTCAACTTCATTATTAGATTGTAAGCAATTCATAATCAACTTTTATTCATCATTGCACCTCCCCCTGCCATCGGCTTACATAGTAAGCAAGCAAATACTTATTAGATGAGTCAGCTTCTCAGAAGACCTGTGAAATAGCACATACATGTCCACTACAGATGGGAAATGAATGTGCAGACTTTTAAAATGCATAGGATATAGTAGCAAAACTGAAATGAAAAGCCTGACCCTCAATTGAGATAAGTACATTTCTGTCCTTTATCAGTTTAAGAACTGAAATACATGACCAACTTTGAGAACAGTAAACTGACATCTTTTTATTTTTCTCTGAAAATACCCCAAGATTAACTTCAGAATCATTTTGCCTAAACTCACAATCAATGTTTCCATCTTGTAAAGCCACTACTGAACTATATGTTTTTTGGGCACCATTTCAGTTCACTTTTAAAAGGGTAATAGGAATGCCAGTCTGACAGAAGTCCCAATTTTCCGAGAGAAATTACAGAATGTGAGCTCACTAGGCAAAATTTGAAAGAACCCGCAGTATAAATGGATGAGAATATTACTCATCTCTCTCCTAGAAAATAATGTTTGATTTAAATCAGTGTTATATCTACCACCACTGATAAAACTGAACAAGGACTGTAGAGATAGCTATTTAAAAAATATCTTTTATTAGATTAATTTATCAAATGAAGTAAGAATCTCTGATAGACACTCTGGTATCAAAGATACTTCATTTGTTTAGATTTTCCATGGTTTGTATAATTTGGAGAAAATTGTGCAACCTGAAAAATTATTCCTTTGCTTAGTATACCCTTATTATTTAAGAAACAGACATTTCTCCTAATAGGAATTTGTTCTTAGCAAAATAAAGAAAAATAAAAAGGATGTCAACTTATTGTTCTGAGTACTAAAGTACCGCTAAACTGTTAAGATAGTCTTTAGGTGCAAATTATGGCATCAGTCAGTAGTTCCCAAAATAAATCCAATCACTTTCACATTGAAAACATACAACACTTTCCTAAGTAAAAGCATATACATAACCAAATTTTAAATAGTTCTTAAATAATTCGTATTTTAGAAAATAAAAACCAAAAATATCCTTCAGGAATAGTGTAATTCAGTTTGCTGATAATTTCCCTCCTTCCAATCTTCAGTTTTTAATATCTCTAATTTAAGGCAAAGTGAAATTAAAAACAATTTAGAGCTTACAGGCAAATCCTGGGGAAAAGTGAGGTTGAGAAATAGAAAGTAATGGTTCAAGTTACTTTACTATGAAGCTGGCAATTTTATTCCTATGTTCATTCTCCATTTGATATGACAGAAAAAACAAGAGCTTGCTCCAAAATAGGAAAAAAAGCAGCAGCAGCAAACTTCTATAACTAGGTCATTGGTTAAAAAAAAAATAAATACCGGCTGATGAATGCTACCACATAAATTAGTCAAACATTTTATTATAGAGTATATATTAAAAGCACAAAAACAAGTTTTATTCTGAAAACCAGGAAGATTGTGATGTTACATATGTATGATTCAATAACTCCAATCTGTTTCTATGAGTACTAAGTGCCTTATCACCTCAGGTTAGTGTAAAACAAGGTGCAAGTGAAGCCGCCATCACAGATCTGATCACCATGTGGGCAGCTTCTCAAATTGAGATGTGTAGTCCAAATCCCGTTTGGTCATCTTCTACATGTTTACTACTAGTCCCAATGGGACTGAGCCACCAAAGACTACATCTGATGCAAATCAAAGCTCATGTTCCTATAAGTCAGAAGGTTAATCCTTAAATAATAAGGACAGCATAATTAACATTGTTATCTCATTCCTAGTAAAATGAATCATCAAATATCCTGGCATATTTAAAGTGAATTATATAGGTAAGTATTAAAGCTCAGAAGCATTCTATGGTAACTGAGCTAAAGAGAGGAATGACCAATGTAGTAAAAGCCATCATTACCAATAAGGATCACCAAATTCTTAGAAATAAGGAGTTCATGTCAAAAGATGTCTCTTGCCTTTTAAAAAGGTCTTTGGGCCACATCGGAGTAAAACAATAACTGTAACTCAAAAAATCAGATTATTTTTCTTATTTGTTTTATAGACCATTAGTTTTTTTTTTTTTTTAAGCCATTAGTTCTTTTAAAACTTGCTCCCTGAGAGATCCCAGACTATGTCAAGAAATTAAGAGTGAACTTGAAGTTGGATCTTACTATGAAAAAAAAAATCTGTTATGAGCTTTATCACTTTTTATATCACTATATAACCCTAATACTAAAACGTCAATAGGGTAAAACCAACTTCTAAGGGAAATATGTCTGAGAATACTTGGGGGTTAATTTAGTATCCATATAAAATTGATACTATAGTCAAGGATTTAACTGATGGTGCTGAAGAGACAAATGTAGTATTATTTTAAGGGGAAAGACTTGTTTTAATTTGTACTACCCAGCTTATTTAGTAAAGCAGATTATCAGCTACTGATTTATTGCTTTTAATATGATGAAACACCAGATTTGACAGCTAAATTAGCAATAGGATACATTTTAATCTTTAATCATTTTTGTAGAGTAGGACATGTACATATCCATATAAAAAGACTGTAGCAGATGCCTCCTAGAATCAACCAGTTCTTGTAAACATTGCATTTGTGCAGATTTTCATACTTTGATTCCAAAATTGAGAACAGTAAGATTAAAGGCAAATTAATAGCCAAAAACCCCCCAAAAAGTCCAGTTTGACTTCTTGCAACATATGGTACCACTCCTCTCTTCAGAAAAAAACAAAACAAACAAAAAAATCCTAGCAGCACATAAAAAAAATTTTACAAAACGTTTCAGTACTCTGTTTTCCCTCCCATCAAAAACCGAACAAAAATAAAGTGCAGCACCCATAAAAGTGTCAAGAAAATAGCCAAGTTCTTCCTTTCTTGTAACAAAATAGTACTTGGCTTCAGCAGTCTTAACCAAATTATACAGTGTCCATCATTTTCGGTTCATCATCTTCTTTATGTACCACTGAGTTTAAACTGCAGAGAGCTGTATTGATAGAATACTGAAGATAATCTGGATTCTGAAAAGTATAGAGGAAAGAATGGATGATCATCAGTTTTGTCAGTACATGCAACTGCATATTCAGTTTCACATTCTCTCTCTGCAATATAGCAGAATAGAAAAAAAGATGAACATTGAAGTCAGACTTTGGTTGAAACCCGAGATGATAAAGAAAAAAATAATAGATTACTACCACTTAACCCAAAGAGATGTGACAAAGACAGAATGATATATGTAAAAAAGAAATGTAATAAACACTACCTCTTCCCTTCATTTAAGAAAACTATAATTTTAACTAATCATATAAAGCTATATCTATGTGATTATATGTATACAGCTATTGACAATTTAAAAGATGGCTTTAAGCCAGCAAGGTATTATGATGATTACTATCTAATTATAATAGTAAATATTAAAATTACAAAAACACTAGAATAAGGTAAAAAAAAAAATCTATTTACTAAGTGAAAGTTATAGCTACCTTCAGAATCTATTTTGGTTTCTCAAAGATTAAAACAAACTCAAGTGAGAAATCATCTGAAAGAGACTTGTACTTAAAAAGTTGAAAACAAAAGAACAGTGTAATTTAGGTTTTATTTTTTTAAACAGAAGAACTCAAAAATGTTCTAATTTTGTTCATTTCTAAAACTAGGAACAGAAAACCTTTTTCAATAAATGCAAAAATAAAACCACTATTACTAAAGCACCATGAATAGAGACATAAGCCCTTAAGACCCAAGACTTTAAGGAAATTCTTCCAATAATTCAATTTTGTCTACTCAGTTGTTCTGAATATCTCCTAGCTATTTAGTTTTATTATGAATCACCTACTTTCATCTGTTTATTTAATATACATCAATGAGGAAAACAGTCCATACAGGGCATAGATATCAGATCTCTCCATGCCAGAGGGAGGAAGCGTTCTCAAATATCTTTTTATTAAGTACAATACTTTGTGATTCTTTTATTGTAAAAGTCAAAAAATGAACAAGAAGTTATTGGATTATTGTCAATAAGGTTTTTTACGAAGGCAGTGGCACAAATAACTGCCTGAAGTCTGGTACACTAAAGTAACCTTGGACCTAAATTCTAACCCTGACTCTTCCACTTAGTATAATGCCATCCTCAGAGAAAATAATTCATCAAAATTGAGTAACAGTAAAAGCTAGTATATAGGATAAGCCTAAGGTAACTGTTACTTACATCTCTGTTCAGGGGGCATTGGTTCAGTTCTCTCAAAATTAAGGATAATGGTATTTGGTCTATCTCATAAGATTGTTGTCAATTTTAAAAAGAGATTAAAAGCTAAACTGTTATCCAAATTTAAGTTTTATAAAAAATTATTAATAGCTTGTTAAATTATCCCATTCTCCAAAGAGACAGGCTGCTAAGACCTTTTCTGACCACCCAGGTCCAACAGAGCTTACAGTTCCGACTAGGTTCCAGTTTTTATGAGAGAATTTTGACTATTAGAAGTAGCTAAAGAGATTCTTTAAAATTCATCTACCCATCTCCTTAAGAACTGAAGGTGGCAGTGATGGTGGGTTCATGTCCGACTCTTGCAACCCCATGGACCGCAGCCTGCCAGGCTGCTCTGTCCATGGGGTTTCCTAGGCAAGAATACTGGAGCGGGTTCCATTCCCTTCTCCAGGGGATCTTCCCAACCCAGGGAACGAACTCACATCTTCTGAATTCCAGGTGGATTCTTTACTGCTGAGCCACTAGTGAAGCCCTAAGAACTGAAGAGACTTAAAAAAACAAAAAGCAATCAACATACCTAACCTAATGTACACTTAAATCGCACTGATTACCCCATATTCTCATCCAGTAACATTCTCAATACATTTATTGTCTCAGAGACCAGTTCTTCCCAAGAGCACACAACTGAGCATCTTGTCATATTTCTAGTATGTGATTCAACAGTTTATGATGTAGGTGAATGAGCAGTGGAGTAGGACAAAAATCGAGGATTAGAATAATAGCTCCATCACTTATTGTATTGACTTCAAGCAGGCTACTTAACCTACAGGAGCTTTACTTTATTCATCCATAAAATGAAAATGAGTTTTTTTGAGAAGATTAAATGTGATACCACATACAAGTGCTTTGTAATCTATAAATTGATATAATAAAAATAAGCTGTTATTTTAAGCTCTTCTTCCAAATCTCCTCTCAGTTGACAACTTGATCCCTCAGGTTGTTTTCCATCTTATCCTTCCCTCAAGCAGATGACTGTGTTTCTGTGGCTCTAGCTGAAATCTTCTCTTTTCCCTCTTATGTTTAGAATCAGGTGCCTCCTCAAAAGTCTCTTTTTTTCCTCTGCATTCATTATGTGACACCTTAGTTTTAGGAGGTTTGTATGTTGGACTTGACAGTGACTTAGTCATAGAATTTCTTAAAGACCACATTCAACTGCAGAGAAAATCATCACCTTATTAAAACAGCATTAAGAGGTAATCTGAGGACAAACTGAGGGAGAATGTCGCTTACATGTCTGTCTAAGGGGTAACATTATTAATTATTTAAAAATCAGATTGTCTTTCTTATCCTTAAGAATTATATTTTTGGCTGCGTTAAATATGATCAATTGCTTTCCTTAAATTGTCCCTTTGGCCTACAAATAACTGGAACTAGTGAAATTATAGCTATAAAGTCAAGGCATTGAAAATCTCAATTCCTACAGCTCTTGAGAATTAAAAATAAATACAGGTCTCTCTTCATACCGTCTTCTGAGTGAGACTTCCCTTTCACTATGTAGGCAATAGGCTAAAGCTGGTCTGAAAATGAGAGATGATTGGTTCAATTTAAATGCTACTAAAACAAAAATGGGCAGCAACTTCCTAGTGATAACTTAAAATTGTAATTCTAAGTAGAATCAGGCAGGCCCAGTGGTCCAACTTCCTTTTTTTGACATAAATTCTTTCATGCTAGTGAGATAATTTTATCTTAATCTAATTGCAGACTTCTAAGATGCTTAAACAGTTGACCAATACTACCAGAAATAAGAGTTCAGCATAAGTTACATTAATTTGTACTAAAATGGTGTATCTGGTAGGCCACACCAACATTTAAAAAGATAATACTAATAAACTCATGCAATAAATCACCTCTGTTGCTACCTGGGTATATGCTTGGAGTTAATTCATCTTCAATTCTTAACAGTATAGTTCTATTCAGGATGGGATGTTGGAGCCATCTTGAGAAGGTTATGACTTAGATGATCAACAGGTAACATGTGCCCTTAAGAATGCTTAGATAGTCCTCATCTCTTCTATATTTAAAAGAGTAGAATTTGGTGTGTCTCTAAAATACCCCAGAGATGGATGAGACTTAATGCCAAAACATGGCATGAGATGAAACTCAGAGTTATCTTTTGAGGCAAGAATATTTAAAATGACCACACATATAAGAAGAAAGAGAAGTCCAAAAGAACAAGTATTCTGTGAATACATTTATAAAATATTTACTTTTTCAACTTACCTGTGGTAAGGACTCTAATAAACCTATAGATCCAACACCAGAATGGGGAACATGATTCTGAACTGTCATAGGCTGAAAATTTGGTGACTGAGAATAAAGTCTGACTCTTGACTTGAAAGCTTCAAGTTCATTTTTGAATGCTTCAAAATAACCTTCCTCTTCTGCCTTGAAAAAACAAACAAACAAAAAGACTGATTTTCAAGATTTCCAGAACACATAGTCAATTCTAACAAAGCATATACCAGGCCTGAAGTGGAAGAGTAAAGATGAGGTGAACAGTTTAAATGTAGAAACCACCAAGATCTCTGTCAGATTTCTGAAAACTGCCTGTTATATATGAATATTAAAGATTGGTTTGCTTCATTTTCCTCTGCTTCAGCAAAATAAAACAAACTAATAAGAAACAACCCTTCTTTACACACACACACACACACAAATGTAATAAACCTTCTAATTCTCTGTCAGTTAATGTGGAAACACTTACCTGTTGTTAGTAATTCTCTAACCCTAAAGTCCCTATTTGTTAAAAGCTGAAGACCAATTAAAGTCAACATTTAACTTTGGTATGAAAATATCTTACTGTTTTAGTTACGCAAGTACCTTCTTTTCAAGATTATGGAAAGAAAAAAAGTACAGTGAGTTATGTTGAGGGAGGGGAATTCTCTCCATAATGTATATAATATAAATGAAATTCTTAATGCAAAATATCCTTTTGGCAGTAGCCTCCATTTATATATATTTCCTTTGCAGATTAAAAAAATGACACAGAGCACATCCTACACAATAGAACATAGGTTTTAAGTTCGAGTGGTGGAAAAGATTCTGTCAAAGTCTCATTCCTGAATTATCACTGGGTCCATTTGTCTGCAGTGTGATTTTTCTCTTTAATGTAGTTTAGGTTGTGTAACTGCTAAAACCTGTGGATTAGTTATTAGCATCAATATCTATACAAATAATGCACACAATGTTCTGTGCTGCTATTCTGTATTTTTTTTATGAATTTAGGAGTCATTTCTTTATTAACACTTCACTTTATAGTCAATAAATGGTACTTATGGAGACACATGGAATGTTAGCCTTCATATCCAAAAGTAATCCTTCTGAAACGGTTATGCAACAAACCATTAAAGGAATCAAGTGACACAACTGCTGACCTTACTGCATGCCTAAACCCTAGGTATTTAGATCTAGAGACTTGATTGATTTTTGTTTTATTAAGCAACCTATGGGTCACTTGCTCAATTTCTCTATGCTAACTTCCTCATTTGTAAAAAAAAAAAAAAGTAATTATCCTTATAAAATGTTATGAATGTTTAATGAGTTAATCCATGTGAAGTGCTTAGAGTATCTTTCACAAAGCAAATAGTTCATGAAAGTTATTTCTTAATTAAAAAAATATTAAGAACAAAATGTTAAGATCTATAGCTTCAGAGTTGTTCAGTTCTATTTTGTCAAAGTATTATAAATGTCAAAAAATACATATTGTATGACTATGTTCCATTATGCTATTAAACACTAGTTCAAACACATCCTTTAATGTAAGATGAAGAAGAAACTTTTTTTTTAACTGCTTGTGTGTCAAAATTTAAAACAGTCATCAGAAGTCTAAAATACCAACTCAATCATTTACTCATTAAAACCACTGTTTTGGGAAAATTTCCTATTTTAACAGCAGAAGGTACAACTTCTGCCACACTAAAAAATGTTTATAATTTAAAAATACAATGTTTTTCTCTATTTATAAAAGGAAATATGTTCTTTGTAGGACATGAAAAAGAAAATGGAAACCATTTGTAATTCTACCACTCAAATATAATCAAAATTAAACTTCTGGTACATTTTCTTCTAACTTCTAATTATGTATGCTAAAATGTACCAAATATGCAAAAAATCACGTAAAATATATATGTACAATTTACTGGGCAAAAATCGTACTACGTACCCACAAAAATTAGGAAACAGATCAATACTAGTACTTTATTTTTTTTCAATACTAGTACTTTAGAGATCAGTTTCAAAAATGAGCATTTCATCTCTCTCTGAGGTTACAACTCTGACTTGTCAGTCACTCTTCTGTCTCTTCAGCTTTACTGTTTACATATCCCTCAACAATATATTATTTAGTTCTGCTTGTTAAAATATAAAATACTTTAAAAATAATAGCAGGTATTTCATTCTGAGACTTGTTTTTTCAGTTTCTTGTTTTTTTAATCCATGCCAATGCTGATTAGTATATTACTAAATGAATATACCACAATTTATTCATTCTACTGTTAACAGATACTTGGGTTGTTCCCAGACTTCTTGCTACTATGAACACTTCTATGAAGCACATATATAGGAGTTTTTCTAGGGCAGCAAATTCTCAAACTTTATAGTCTCAGGACTGCTTCATGCTCCTGAAAATCGTTGAGGAACCTAAAGAGCTCCTGTTTATGTGGACTGTATCTATCAATAATTATGTTAGAAATTAAAACTGAGGAATTAAATATTAACTGAAATATAATAACAAACTCATTACATGTTAACATTTTTAACATATAACATATATATATATATATATATATATCTTTAAACTATATTTCCAAAACAAACTATTTAGTGAGAAGTCTGGGCTTAAAAGAAGATAGCTGTATTCATACATCTGCTTCTGTATCAATCCAAGCTGCACACTCACACAAGGAGAGTGAAAATGACAAATAACATCTTAGTATTATTATAAAAATAATTTTGACTCAGGGCCTCTGGAAAGGGTCTTGAAGACCCTTGAGTATCCTTGGATCACATGTTGAGAAATTTTTTTCAAGAGTATATATATCTAGGAGAATTTCTGGCTGTTGGCACTTGCCTTGTACAAGAAAATCTTCCAAAGTGGTTACACCAATTTACACTCCTACAGGTAGTTAATATGAATTACTATTGCTCTACTTCTTGTACAACTTTTAAATCATTACTAATTTAGTGAGTGTGAAATTTCGATCTTTCTAAACATATCTATTTTTCTTTAATATAGCTGACATTATCCTACATATATAAATATGTATTGCATCTTTTCACTTTATAGCAAAGCATTTTCTCAGATTAAAAATACCTCATATAATTTTCATATAATCTTGAAAGCTGCATAATATTCTATGAACTATAGTTTTTTTTTTTTTCTCAAACCATTCCTCTAATTTTCCTGAATATATACATTCATGTAATTGGGTCTCCAGTTCACATAATGCTATAGTACAGCATCTTGAAATCTAAATTAGCATAAAAACAGCAATATACTTTTTCTTTTCATTATAAAATCTACAGAATCTAGCCTGTGGCATCCTGGTTGGATGGCCTCCTTTGATGTGTATGGACAAAAAGAGGTTTCCGCTAAAGCCTAACTTTCCCATTTAATAATACCAAACAACAATTATCCTTCAATAAAAAAATAAAATAATAATACCAAATAGCTACTTACTTTGGCTTTCTGGAAAAATAAGCGAAAACATCCTCTTGGATCCACATTACAGTTTTTGGCCATTTCCATAATAAACTGCATTACAACTGCTTGATGTGCTATTTGTTCCATTAGAGCCCCTTTCTAAATAAACAGATTAAAATTATAAGAAATATACTTAATATTGTGATTACTATTCAGATTTTTAAAACATGAATTTTTAATAGGTTAAAAAAGAAAAAGGTTTATAGTATGGGAACAAGAGAGATGAGGGGACAGGAAAGCAGGGAAAGCACACTGGAAAAAAGTTCCCCTATGCTAAGTGAAATAACTAAGGAAAGATGCCAACAGTAAGCTCAAGCAGACCCTGAAAACAAAACAAAACTGTAATTCCATTTAATGACCTTTCTGCTTACATTTAAAGTAATGGGGGGGTGGGGAGCAAATCGGCATTCCACTAAGGTTCTCAGAAATTCAAGTTTCACATGATACCTGTTCAGCTTCTAGATGAAAACACCATAAAATAAGATATTTAGCAGTTTCTTCACATACAAGGTATGGATGGTCAGACAAAAATCTCTGACTATCATCCCATCGACTTAACATACCTGTAAAACAAGAATTAAACCATGAATGTCAAATACTTTCCTCCTGTAAGCAAAGAAATGGTATTTTAAAATGATTCTCTTTAAAAGCTCGTATTACCACAGAAATGTTATGGTAAAAGAGCAAATGAAGATAGATAATAAAGCAATACCTGGCATACTGGAAATAGCTTTTAAAATTCACAGCAAATTTTATTTCAAATAATTTGTCAGGATAAAGTAGGGTGATTGGTTTAAAGCTATAAAAGTCCTGTATCTAGGGAAAGCCCAAAATCCCTGGCAAACAGATATGGCTGGTCGGTCATTCTAGGCGAACATTAAGTACAATAATTTCAGGAGATTCAGTATTATTTATTCATAGAATACAAATTTTTCTATTGGGAAGATGGAAAAGAAAGCAAAACCTTTCTTTTCAAACCTTTACTTTTCAAAAGTAAACTACACTGAGCCAACAAAGACTTAATAAAAGATTCAGGAAAATTACATTTCCTCTAATTTACTAAAATGTCTGATATAGTAAAATACTGCATGGGAAATCAATCCAGTCATTGTTATAGTAGTAAATATAGTTTAACCATTTCAGTCATGTTCACCATTTAATCATGATCACTGTTTAGACACAGAAAATAAACTCTTTTTAAAGCTGGTTAAGTATATTTGGAAATGCTGCCATTTTGCTTTAAAATACTAAACTAATCCAAATGCTTCTAAAGGTGTACTGTCATCTTGACCCAAATTAGTGAGAAATTTGGCCAAAAAGTTGATACCACCCAAATAATCACAGAATCAGCAAAGTGCTGACCTTTATTTAGATTCATCCATTTATCCAAGAATCATCACGGAAATTTCACAAGGCTATCTCAATAGTTCGGCAATAAATCTTTTCTCCAGACACAAAATGAACTTCTGTATGTTAAAGTTCCACATCAGAACATAAGTAAAAACAAAACTGAGGACAAATGTCTTACTGAGAAACACACAGTAACACAAGGAAATCAATTAAAAATAAATGATTTTTTCCTCATTAAAAAAATTGGAAAATAGCATTTTAGCATTTTCTCATAAAGAGTTTTACAAGCTTTATAGTTATTTCCCCAACACTTTGGATACAGTAACTAGGTCATTTTAAATTCTGAGAAACATAATGATTATTTAAGTGACTTTAAACTTCTTTTCAAACTACAGTGAAAGAATTTAAGTAATAACTTCTAGGGGTCAGATCTAAAGAAAGTATAATCCTTATTTCTTATACCTGATGCCATAAAATAAATCCTATACAGCAATTTTGCCTTAGCTTTGTTACACTTCTGAAGAGGGAATATTTTCAACTCTATCAACTATTCAGAGAGATCACTGCTTCTCCTGTTTACCTCTCCATGGCAGCACTGTGACTTACTCAGGCACATAATTCCTATCCGTTTTGGTCTCTTTTGAAGGAAAGAGAATTTACGAAAGGGTTAGTGACACTTGTAAGGGCCGTGAAAAAGGGTGTCACTGAATGTTAAAAGGTTTTAAACTATCTATTCAATAATGGAGACAAAATCAACTCTTGAGGATGACCATAGTTTTTCTATTTGTTTCTATAATAAATAATGCTGGAATGATAATATGTGCAAAAATAAACTTTACTTACTTCTTCAGAAACTATTATTGAATTAAACAGAATACAAGCTTATTTCATTTTTTAAAATAAAAAGTATGAGAAAAATTAATAAATTTTATGAATAAACTACAAAAAAGAAATAAAAAACTAAAGTAGTATCCATTATACTGACATAAGGATGAATGAAATTCTACTACTTTGGGAGAAAGCCACCAATAGAAAAAAGTCTCAAAATGTCACTTAAAAAGCTTATTAACATATATTTACTAAATTGACACATTATACTCCCCAGTAGCATTTTCACTCCAGCAGTATTGTTACTGCTTATAATTCTTAGGACATATCATACTACTTCCCGACTCTGGCTTCGTACATGCTGTGTGCTGCCTTGCCTCCCTTCATCTACAGGAAAGCATCTACATGTTCCTCAAAATCTAACTGAGATGTTCCCTCCTCTGGGAAGCCTTCACTTAAATCAACACCCATCCTATCGTTTTTCTCCAGTAGAGGAAACTATTTTTCAGTTCTTTGTATGTATATTTCTCTTACTTATTATAGATTATATTCTATTACTTGTTATTTATCTGAATAACAGTTGAAGGATCTGCATGAATTGTATAGCATCATATCCAAAATCTGAAAAATGCTAATCTTACAACCGTAAGATAACCAGATACCAGGAAAGCAAAGATAAAAAAGACAAAAGCAGGAACTTCCCTAGTTGGGAAATGCAGAGTCTAGGTAGTAAAAAAAAAAAAAAGACAACTAGATCATAGAGGGTAGCATTATACAAACAGGTTGAATTCTGCTTTTTTTCACAATTCAGTTTACTCTATCACTCTATTTTTTTATGTATAGCTCTAAAACGAGCCAAAGACAACTGTCTCTAATTTATAAATTAAGTTTCTGTACATATATTTATGATACCAAACATTACAAAAGAAGGAAACTCAAGTAGTAGACTTACCAAAATGTCTAATTTTCTGCTCATGTTTCTGCATAAATGATTTTGATTTATCTTCATCTTCTGTTTCTTTTCTTTTATCTTGATTAATAAAACTCTAAGAAAAAAGTTTTGAAGTTAAAATCAGATTTTATATTATAATTGGATCTTCTTTCTCAGATACTGAATGCCCAGCAATCCTTCTTATAGACATTATAAAAAGGTGATACAGTAAATTGATATTGTATCATTAAATTCGTCTGTAAAACTCTATTTTAGAAATCACAGAGAAAAACAAATGAATTAACTTTTTTGTAAAAACAAATATGCCCGTCAAAGGCAGGTATAGAAAAATCCTTTACACGCATAATTTATTTTTGCATTATTCATTTCCATTAAATATTTGCAACTCTAGTCTAATTTTTGGAGTTCTTGGTGGAAACAAACCCAGAAATTCAAAGATTATAGAGTACATTTACTACAAAATTTTCCTGAGACATAAACCTAAAATAGACCTTTGTTGTAAACTTTTCTTAGGAGAGGCTAAACAGTTTGATTCTGAAATCACGCACAAACTTCTATTAAGGAAGTGCTTATTTTCAGTTAAAGTCATAAAACAGACCAAGATGAAGTTTTTATTTGGCCACAAAAACTGGCAAAAAGTTTCTCAGTACATTATGTGATCACATTTAAACCTTGAGATCATCACTGCCAAAAATGGAAATTGAAAACTAGCTCTCTGCCAGTTTACAGTCAGGAAGCACACAAGTTTATATATTTCAAAATAAAAGCATTTTTTTCCCCTCTTTGTATATCCTGCCATCTAGACCAGAACTGTCCAACAGAAATACAATCCAAGTCACAACTGTAAAGTTTTCTATCAGCCACATTAAAAAAAGAAACAGATGAAATAACGTATCTATTTAACCCAACATATCCAACATATTATCATTTCAACATATAAGCAATATAAATAATTATTAATGAAATATTTTATTTTTTTGGTACTAAGCCACCGGAATCTGGTGTGTATTTTACACTTACAGCACATCTCAGTTTGGACTAGCTACATTTCAAGTATTCAATAGCACACATGGCTAGCAGCTATCAAGTTGTCAGACTAGCGCAGATCTAGACCTGTCCTCTCAAATCTCAAGCTCCCCAACAAAATGAATGCATGATTTTCAGCAAATGACTGGAACATAGTCTTGATTAATTCTGGTATAAATGTAGGCTACATTAGAATCTAACTTAAGAAAAAAAAAATAATTATGGCTAATTCATTTCAATGTATGACAAGAACCACTGCAATGATGTAAAGTAATTAGCCTCCAACTAATAAAAATAAATGGAAAAAAAAATAATTAAAAGCAGAGACAAAAGTATTTTCTTTGTGACCACTGTGTTAAGAGACAATAACTGTATAAACAAAAGAACACTGTTTTGACCATTCCCTGTATTATAAAAAGAGCATTTTAAATAGTTTTGGGGTACAAATGCAAAACATAAGTAAAATAACACTTAAGAAGGCACATCCCTTAGAACAATATACACAGAGATAGTGAACAATCTGTTAAAGAATGATTCTGTTGAGGGGAAAGAAAAATATGTAATTTGGTACAAGCACAGAAAGTCTAGAAAGATGACTCATTGTTAACAGCGGTTATCTCTGGGAAATGGGAAATGAAGGGAGCCTTTCAACTCTATTTTACAGGCCTATGTTTTATTTTTTTATAAGAAGTATGTTAAACTCTTATAATCTACCTTCATTACAAAGTAAAGTACTGATAAGGCTAGTAGTACAGGACATTTACCTATGTGTATTACTTATTGCTGTAGCAGGACTAGAGCTAGTCCAGAGGAAAGAAATTAAAGATGCCTGGGGAAGGAGGGGCTTTTAGAGTGGATGCCAGAGCAGAAACAAGTAGTGTTACACAGTACATCTAGAGAATAATGAAGGTTAAAGATACAATGAATGTGGACTTAGACAAGAATGAGCAATCTACACCTGAGGCTTGAGAGTTTAGTACAAATAGAAAGAAATATTACTTTACACATTTAGATGAAAATGACTTTATTTCATTGCCCACTTCTTTTTCAGATTCAGAAATCAAAGAATAAGGTCTATGTAATCCAGTGAGAAACAGAAGACTGCTCCTAATAAACTACTAACTTGGCATAAATATTTTACTACTCCTTTCAGCAGTAATGCCTGTAACACTAGGTCCAGATTACTATCTGAGGGTTACTAAATGCATACTGGTAAATAACAGTGAGAAACTTTGTTTTACTTGATAAAACCAGTAACTACATTAGTGTTGGGTTTCCCAGGTGGCTCAGTGGTAAAGAATCTACCTGCCAAGCAGGAGACGTGAGTTTTATTCTTTGGTCGGGAAGAACCCCTGGAGAAGGAAATGGTAACCCACTCCAGTATTCTTACCTGGAAAAACCCATGGACAGAGGAGCCTGGCGAGTTACAGTCCATGGGACTGCAAAAGAGCTGGACACAACTTAGTGACTAAACAACAACAAAAAAACTGAAAGCAAGCTGATAAGCACAGCAACATCATAAATCTCTGGTAACATCTGATCTTTACCACATGCCAGGCCCCATGCTACCTGCTTCTATGATGTTACCTTGCTTAATCTTTATACCTGCTCTTTATATTTGAGGAAACTGAGGCTTAGGGAAGGGATCTGCCCAAGGTCACAAAGCCAGGCTGTGACAAAGTTGACATTTGAGGCAGTCTGACTAGAACCCACATTTATATTCACTGTGCTATGCTGCAGCCATATGATTGGATTAAGGACTACCAACATTAGACACTACTTGGGATACATGTTTCTATAACGATCACTTCTCCTAAACTGTCAAATTGAATACTGTTTACAGGATTCTGTTGCTTTGTTATCAGATATGCACAACTGGTTTGCACAAACATTTCAGTCTTTCCTATATCAGCAGGCCCAATAAAAGATAATACCTTATTAAAAACATCCTTGCTAATGGCATCCATGTTCCACAGACACATTCTCTCTCTTTGTACTAGAGCCTCTTCTTTCTGCCGCCATTCTTCTTCCCGTTGCCTCAGTTCTGATATTGCTGTTTGTGCTTTGGCATGTTCCTGATCCAAGGACTCAGAGTTATGCAGTGCTAAGCTACCAAGTTTCTGCTGAGCTTCAGCGAGATTCCATTTACATGCCACAGAGCTCTTCACAAACTCTTTCTGCTTCTGGCAAGCCATTTCGATTCCATGGCTATACATCTGGACAAAAAACAGTATTTTTAAGAAATGAAGAAGGCAACAGAACAGGTATGCTTATGTAGAACAGTTCAATTTTCTATTAGTCAATGATTTCTGTACAATGTTTTTGGCATATAGGTGTCCGGCCTTTTTGTGTCCAGCAGTTAAAATTTTATATTATAGGTCTTGTTTCATCACTGAGACTCTAAGCTTCTTCGTTAATTTGTGTCTCTCCCTGGACAACTAACAGCAACAAAAAGCCTGGCAACTAGCACAGTGTTCTGCATACAGCAGGGCCTCAACAAACATTTGATTTATAGCCTTTATAATCCTGGAACAAAATAATGAGAACAAAAGCTTAAATATAGTTCATCATCTTATCACTCAACATACTGAAAACCAGACCTTTAGAGTTTTGCTCTGCAAGTTCTTCACTGCAAAGAACTGCTTATTTAGCAGTAATCACTTCTTGGTTTCTATTTTCTTTCTGTATTACCCCAGTCCTTGGTAATCTGAGAAGTTCTTATTGGAAATTTCTATTTATAACTGACTGTATCAGATACATAACCTTACTTAATCCTAATAAAAATAGGCTATTTTTTTAATTAAAAAGAAAAAAAGTCACTAGGTCCACCATGGTGATTCTGTTCTACTCAGACGCAAAAGTACTCAGTTTTAACAATTATTCAACCTCCACATGTAAAGTATCAAGATGGATATTTAATTCCTTCTAATCTTTGGCTCTATAGAACAAAAGCTAAAGGCACATTTTTCATGATTTCTTAGCCAAAATGCAGACCAATTTCAAGGTAGGTATTCAGAATAATTTTACTCCAATCTATTCCCTTACCTGCATCACTATTCAAGCCCTTATAATTTCTCACTTTAATTTTAGAAGTATAGCCTTTCTAATATCAAGCCATTCTCTACTAGACTTGGCATGATCTCTCCAACAAAAATGATGATTTTACTTATTCAGAGTCTTGAGAACTTTTAAAGTACAAACTTCATAGCATGGCATGGTGCATCATGATCTCACTTCCTATTATCTCTCTGGACTCAGTTGTAGTTACTCTTCTACTACTTTGCTTATTCTTTTCTTCTCTCCCCCACCACTTCAGTGTGGCAATCCCCCATCCCTAAACTCCCATCTCTATCCTAGATTCCAGCATCACTTCCCTTCCCTCTTATCCTGTTCCTCTCCACCAAAGTTATGCATACTTCTTCATGCATTTGAGTGCTTTCATACAATATTGTGCTTATTTACTCAACTATAAGCTTCTTGAGGGGTTAGAATTCAATAAATCTTAGATGAATAAATGACTCCTGACTTCTTGGAACAGACTAGTGGTGGTAAAGAATTCTAAGTCAAGTAGCATGCAAGGTTCCTCCTTCCTGGCTGAGTCTTCAGGCAAACTTAGACTTCTATTGGGCAAATGTGGACACTTGGTGTTCAAATGTTTCAGCTGCTCATTTACCACATGGTCCTAGTCAACCAAGTATTTACTTTTACTTTTTGTTATTCTAGAATAGGATTATGAATAATTGTAGATTAGCTATGCTTAAGAAGGAACTAGGCAGAGGAGACAAATGAACCTGTCAAATTTATTTTGTAAGAAAAGACAAATACTAACAAAGATGAGGACAAACGGAAATATCTTGCATGGTCAAATTATGCAGGAGCAAATTCTCAAATCATTTCTCAAGTCAAACATAGAAATCTTATTTCCAAATTCTAAAACTGATTAATGTTTATATTCTTCTCCAAAGACTATGTTTGGGCATTTAACTATCCCACATGTATTGAGATGATTGATTATATTTAATAAACACAGATTTGAAAAAGGAACTGTTAGCATTAAGGTCTACTAATATAACTTTACATTAAAAAATATTCCAAACAGGATCTCTAAGTTCCAAATTGCATTTAATTTGATCTCAGAACTATACATATGACATTAAGATGTCTAGGTTCCCTATATTAGGTAAAATTACACCAAGGCTGTTGTAAATTTTAGCACCAAAGTTAGTTTCAGCCAAATAAAGTTTTACATCACAGGATGGGCAGTGCAGTAGGTGGGAAAAAACACTGTACTAGGTTCCAGAAGTGGGTTCTAAACCACGATGTGGCAGGATCTAATTCTGCCACTGACTAGCTACATGGTCTCAAGGAAATCACTTATAATGAAGGAGATAAGCCTAATATCATTTCTAAAATTCCTGTCAGCTAAATAAGGTTATAAATTAATACACAGCTATTTTTAGAATTCAGTTTCTTTTAGGTTACACTTTAGATTCAAACACTATGCAGTGAAATTCTTGAGACCTTTCTATCCTCTCTATAAGCCTTCAAAATTGACAATGGCAGCTGCTGTTCATTCTTTGTCTTTTGCTCTGTACCACAGTCATTATATGCTTATATAACATATTTTGTATATAAAGATGACACCAGCGATCCAAAATTAGTGAGTGACTATCGACTTATCAACTCTCATTCTGTCCTCCTAAAAAATGTCTTGTACTTTCCCAATGACTGGCTAAAGAACAGTCTGTGGTTATGAAACAGCATTTTTCTCTTTGCAGCCAACTAACCCTGTGAGCTGGGGTTAAGATCAACGACCCTACACTTATTGGAATACAATTTAAATCACTCATTCTCATTAACAGCAAGATAAGTCTAGAGAAAAACTATTAACTCAGTTAAGCCTTCAGGGATCCCATTTTGTAAGAAGCCTAGAAGGCAGATACCTAAACTCCATTTTATTTTACTTATTAGTCTTTAGTCAGTGATCCTGAAATATACTCCGAAAACAGGTTACGAGAAAAACCAGGACCAAGTGATATGAGCACTATATAAGCACTCCCTAAGGTGGGACCCAGAAAATCCTAAGTGGTACTATATCACATCTGGATAAGTTTCAGAGGAAAAAAGGCTTGGCTGAAAACCACAGGAAGCGGTAGGAATCTGAGGAAAAAGTCTGAAGGAAAGCCAAGCTCGTGCCTATATGTTTTTAACTGAAGAATGGTATGAAGCAAAACTAAAATCATAAACGTAAGGGGGAAATGGTGACGCGAATGGCCGAGATTTACGCCAGCATCAAAATCAAGGTTTACAGAATTCGCTCAGATGTCAAAAGTCAGTAAAATAAACTGGACATAAAGTCTTTAGTCAGGGGTTCAGAAAATTATTGAAATACAACCATTCACTGTTCCCATCAACTGTGCACAAATATTAGAACCTTCAAGAGAATAAAGTGCTCCGATAAGAGCAGGCACAAGAGGACAAAGGGTCAACATTATAGACCGAGCTGTCCTAAATCTGGGTGCCATCAGAAGAGGGGTGGGGGGGAGGAACTTCTTCAAGGGTGAGAAAATAGCCAAGGTGAAAAACGTGTGTGTGGAGGTGGAGGTTGGTAATATATGGCCAGCCCCTCTTCGAAGAGCTCAGTAGATGTTACAAAGCAATGGGATGACATCAGGCCCCCGACGCCCGGGGTCGGCGTGGGTAAAAGGGGGAGGTGGGGGCTCAAAACAGTGTCGCAGAGACAGAGACCTCTGGGGGCCTGGTGACGACACCTCCCCACCCCCCACCCCGCAGAACACGGGCTCCTTTCTCACCTGGGTGCCGCCTCCCGGCAGCTGCGGACAGCGGGGAGAACCGGGGGACAAGTCCAAGTCACTCTCTTCCTCAGCCTCACCCTCTGCCCGAGGGAGGTTCCAAGGTCCTGGCGGCGGCCACGGCTGCTCCATGTCCGGCTGCCCGCGGCCCTACAACCCCACAGCCAACGGACTTGGCGTGAGTACTACACGCTGCGCGGAGCCAGCCGCCCCAGCCGGCTGGGGCCGTTACCCAGAATCCCTCTGCCCCGACGCCGACGTACGCGCCGCGTTAGTCCCGGCCGCGCAGCCGGCGGACGGCGGAAAAAGACGGACTCCACATCGTACATCACTTCCGGATTGGAAGGCGGGGCCGCGGGAGGTTGGTCCCGGGGCTTGGGAGTAGGGGTTGGGTTTGGACAGCTCACTTGTTTAAAACTTCTTTTTACGAATCCCTTCAGCGGTGCTGATTTACTTTCCCTGGCGCTGAGGGTCATGTCGTATTAAATACTGGTTATCTGGAGTTTCTTACGCAGTAAACAGTGGGTCCTAGAAGATCGAGAGGTGCACGGACCAAGCTTTCCACTTTGCGTATTGTTTAAAACGTGCAACTCATTCCCGCACTTATTAAGGATATGTGAACCAGTTTCTGAAGCGGCGGTGGCGGTAGGGGCGGTTGAAGGGAAGAGAATTTTGAAAAACAGCCAATTTTCCTCTCATTTCGAGTTACAGGCAACGAGGATTCTGCGAGCTTGGGAGGGAGGAGGAGTATGCCAAAGATAAAATACTGAGGGGCTTAAAAAATACCGCTAGTAATGAGTACCACTAATAACGAATGTATAGGGAGGGATTCTTTGTATTTCTAGATATGCCGTTTAATCGTAAAGCTTTGTGCTCCCCTTATCCCCTTTTCTGAGGCGAATAGACAGCTTGCCTAAGGTCACAAATTTTAAGGGGAAGAGGTGGGGTGGGTATATGACTTGAAAAACTTTTGCGGGTTTAACAATCAGGCATTGTTGTCCTACTTAAAAATAAGAGACCCCCAAAATAAAGACCCAAATAAAAATAACCAGATGCCCTGTTTTCAATCTTTTTTTGAAGTTTGTAAACACCGAATGTAGACAGGATGTGAGGAAATGCTGTTAGAGTATCACATGTGTAACCTTCCCAATGGGTAATTTGACAGTATCAGAGGTTTAATGCTTTGATTTGGTAGTTTAATTACCGGGAAACTATCCAACAATTATTTTGTACCAGTAACCAGTGATATATCCACAAAGGTGTTTATTGTAGTTTTTTTCTTTTTTTTGGTGGCAAGGAACAAAAAGAAGGAAGTATATATAAACGTGCTGGTATAGAAATATCTCCAAAATGTGAGTAAAAAAGGCAACTTTCTTAGATGTATATTTATATAGCTATACATATCTGTCAAGACACAATAATTCAGTTTGTGTAAAAACAATTTGTGTGTACATGTGTGATAGAAAGTTCCTAGAGGATAAACAAGAATTATTAATGATTACTCCTGGTGAGTAGGGCTGGGGAGGAAAGTTTCTGAGAATCTTTACATTTAAAAAAAAAGTTAAAAATTTTGGCAGTGCCCAGCAGTATATGGGATCTTAGTTCTCAGACCAAAGATCTCACCCAGGGAAACTTGCCTTAGGGGTTTTATCCACTGGACTGCCAAGGAAGTCACTGAGCATCTTTACTTTCTACTTTTAGCTTTCCTGTATTGTGCTGCTCCAGTATTTTCCAATGAATATATGTTATACCTTAATAATTAATTACAAATGAAAGTTGAGGAGCACTGTGACTAAACCTTTTGAGTTTAGGAGTGAACGCCTAGGAAAAAACATTACAGCACCTAAAAAGTACGAAGGGAGAGAAGACAACAGCTCCACTCACTTGTGACTTTTTATTATTTGAAAAACTTCCAGTGACTTACCCTTATATATCATTGGCCAGAACTGGCTTAAATAAATTGTGATTCATTCCCTGGAGCTAGATGCATCACCACCCATGCAAAACCGGGGTTCCATTGGCAAAGCAAAAGAGCTTATGGCTCTTAGGGAGGCAATCACGTTGTCTTTCACAACACTAACCCTGTCTAGTGCTAGCCTTACTCTTGAGTGTCATTTCTTAACTTCCTCTACCCCCTGCCCAAGTTTCTCCTAGTATGCTCAATGGCCTTTCAGTTCCTCAAATATATCAATTTCTTTCCTGACTCCTGGCCTTCCACATGTGTTGTTCCCTTTGCTGGAGTATGTTTTCTTTTTAAAAGTCTTCTTAGTGGTCCTGCTTTTCTTTTTAGATCTTAGATCAACTGTCATACCCTTAGCCTGACCTTAGCCTGAACTTAGTCCACTGAGTTGCAATTAGGTTCTTATTCCCTCTACCCTGTAACTTTTTATCTCACCCCTAATTTGGCATTTCCTCCCTAGTATTTGTCACACTGTTATTATCTTATCTGTAGTCATGCATTTATTTTCTTACCCAACTAGTGGCTCAGCTGGTAAAGAATCTGCCTGGTTCGATTCCTGGGTTGGGAAGATCACTGGAGAAGGGATAGGCTACCTACTCCAATATTCGCGGGCTTCCCTGGTGGCTCAAGTGGTAAAGAATCTGCCTGCAATATGGGAGACCTGGGTTCAGTCTCTTGTTTGGGAAGATCCCCTGGAGAAGGGAAAGGCTACCCACTCCAGTATTCTGGCCTGGAGAATTCCATGGACTGTATAGTCCATGGGGTTGAGAAGAGTTGAACATGACTGAGCGACTTTCACTTTCACTTTGTGCCTGACCAGCAAGTGAGGTCCACAAGGGCATAGATTGTGTCTCGTTCAGTCTTGTACCTCTGTTGTCTAGAATGGTACCTAGCACATAATAGGTACTCAATAATGTGTGCGGGATGGATGAATAGGGAACAAATGAATGGAAACAAGTATGAAAAGAAAGGGAAACAAGTATGAAAAGAAAGGTGTAGGATTACACACAGATAAAAGAGGGTAAAATGGGAATGGGAAGAATTATGTTTTGGTAGGAGAAGATAGGGTGGATATAAGTAGCCTCATCTTAGCCATGGCTGACTTTAGGGCCTAAATCTTGTGCCCAAGTACAGCAGATACTTTTTACAATTCTTGGAACTAAATCAGACTCTCTTCTGCTTTCTTGTATTGGATAATATAATTCCTTGGAAATTGCTTTTGGTCATAATTAGCCTGTTACTTCCATGGACATAGAGCTAGCCAGATGAAACTCAAAGGAGCAAATTGATTTTTCCTGAATAGAAATTACTTTACAATGGAAAAATATAGATTATATATGTTGTCCAGAATGCCCAAGGGCAGTCCTGTGGAAGGTTTTGTATGGTATCATTAAGTAAGTATTGAGCCTACAAATGCCAGTCAGTCAAAGCAGAAGCCGAGAGTAATAGGAGTTTGACTCACGAGCTCTGATGAAAGTTTGTGAAGTAGAGCTCGTGTAAGTTCAGATCCCAAATGACTTCAGGATTGTTAAAAGCTGTTCAGTTGCAATTTAGTTCCTTCCCTAGAAGCATTCCTGATTCTTGGGAGGAATTCTCAAGAAGTATGTATGCTTAAAGAAATAACTCAGATTGCCAGCCTCTCTTTTGGCTGTTCAGGCAGAGACCATGGTTCTTTTTAACGCATTGCTTCTTTTTTAAATTACTTATAAAGTACTACACACCACAATAATTTTCTCATGTTATCTGAATTTGAGGTAAATAGATCCACCATGTTTTCTCTTTGAGTTTATGTAAGACTTCTGTTGGGCTTCCCTGGTGGCTCATTGGTAAAGAATCTGCCTGCCAGTGTAGGAGACACAGGTTTGATCCCTGAATTGGGAAGATCTCCCTGGAGAAGGAAATGGCAACCCACTCCCCAGTATTCTAGCCTGAGAAATGCCATGAGCAGAGGAGCCTGGTGGGCTACAGTCCATGGGGTTGCAAAAGAGTCAGACAGATTTAGTGACCAACAGCAAGACTTCCGTTGAAGGGAATTCATAGTGATGCCACCAAGAATCCTCTTTTGATGGACTATTTTAAGACAATGAAAGTTACATAAAGATATGACTACTTTTCCTATTTACGTATGTGTTAAAAGATTTTTAAATTGTTACTATGAATATTTTTAAGTATACAAAAGTATAGAATTATAGTATATTCCTTATATCCATCACCAGGTTAACAATTATAAATATTTTGCTACATTTCCTTTATTCATTTTATTCATTTGTGGGAGTATTTGGAAACAAAGCCTTAAACATGAGACCTTTTCTGCTACATACTTTAATATTCATCTCTAAACAGTGTTGATATTTGGTTTCCATAAACAAAGGGACATTATCATACCTTTCAAAATTAATTTTGATTAATTAATTAATTGCTTCGTATTATAGCCATAATCAAATGTCCCCAAAAGTGTTAAATATTCTATTTAAGTTGATTTGTCTAAACAGTGTTCCAGCAGAGCCCACATATTGCATTTGGTTGCCAGAGCTTGTATCTTTTAATCTAGAACATTTCTCCTCCCCACTTACTTTTTTTTTTTTTTAATATCATTGACTTGTTGCATGTTAACTGGGTTAGTTGTCTTATGGGATGTTTCACATTCTAGATACGTGTGTTTGCTTTCTTGTGATGTCATTAACATGTTTCTTTAACCTCTGTGAAGTGAAGTTAGCTCTAGAGCAACACTGCTCAGTAGAAATTTCTGTGATTATAGGAATATTCTGCTTGCACTATCCAATACAGTAGCCACTCGCCATTGTGGCTATTGAGCACTTTAGAAGGGACTAGTGTGAGTAACGGAGACGGCAATGGCACCCCACTCCAGTACTCTTGCCTAGAAAATCCCGTGGACGGAGGAGCCTGGTAGGCTGCGGTCCATGGAGTTGCTAAGAGTCGGACACCACTGAGTGACTTCACTTTCACTTTTCACTTTCATGCATTGGAGAAGGAAATGGCAACCCACTCCAGTGTTCTTGCCTGGAGAATCCCAGGGACAGGGGAGCCTGATGGGCTGCCATCTATGGGGTCGCACAGAGTCGGACACGACTGAAGCAACTTAGCAGCAGCAGCAGCAGTGTGAGTAAGGAACTGAATTTTAATTTTTATTTAGTTTTAGTTAATTTAAATT